ACGTTTCTCTTTCTTGATCGTTGGGATACATACGGATCTTGCGCGTCTTCAATCTCTTGTCTTCTTTTTTTGTTTGCAGCAGCCCTAAGACCATTGTGTCTGGCTGTGAATACCGTGACGATAGATAGTAGATCCTCTGCAAGTTCGCCTGTGTCTGGGTCTGTTGATTCAACATCCGTACCGAGAACCACGAGTTTGCCATCGTGTTCCTGAAAATCCACTCGACGAGCTCATGTGCGAATCGGCATAATCGTTCCTTGCGGGTAACCACAACTTCCTCGAGATTTCCTGCATACACTCGTTCCAGAATGGACACGAATCCTCGTCGTTTCCAATAAACCCGACGTCAGTAACGATCTCATGATCAGGAAAATTTAGAAGTGAGGTATGCACGCTGCCTTTCAAGGTCATCTTTCTGCTTTTCACTGGATACCCGTGCGTAACGAAGTTTTTTCTTTTGCGCACTCTCCTTGTTAAACATTCGGTCGATGTCCGGGACGGAATACAAACGTTTTCCACCCGGCATGGTGACGCTCGAAACATCTCCATGTTTGCTCCATTTACGAAGAGTACTCGTAGATATTCCATAATTCTTCTGTATCTTGTTCGCAGGTTTGTAATTCATGCGTGTCTTTTCGTGTTTTTTTTATTATTTTTTTACACGATGATGCGTTTTGAGATTGACAGGAAGGAATATTGATACATCAAGTATTAATAAATATTATCAACTTTTGAACCAATAGAATTGAAAATTGTAATATATAAATTTAAAAATATTTTTTATCAATAAAATGTTTACCGTTACATCTGGCTTAAGCTAGTGGTCAAAATGATCTAAGTCTTGATGAATTAAAAAGTTTTATCGTTATGATTATTTTATTATTAATTAGCGCTTTCTTTGTAAGGAAGTTTTTTCTTACATATAAACTAAGCTGAATGCTCTAATAAATATGCTTGGTTTATATTGACGGGTGCGTTATTAACATTAGACATTCATCTTCACATCTTTTAATGTTTCATTACTCTTTAATATACCTTCGTCAATATTAGTAAATAAATTAAATGAAATAAATCAGATTGGTGGTGCTTTTTGTCACAGCCGGCTCTTTGGAAATTAAAAGAACACTCACGTTAGACTCTGGCGCTTATTTATTTTTAAATTACATAAAAATTGACACACTATGATCCGATCTTCAAATTAATAATAAAAAACTGTTCCCAGACATCACTAATTAAAAGTTCGGAAAGTTTTTTTAGTTTTTGGGCTGACGCAGATTTAGTCATTTAAGTTTTGGTGTGAAATTATCCAATTCACGATGTAGTCATTGTGTGAACAACTAATGTTAACGGGCGGAATGCAACTTTGCTGTTTAGAATTGAACATATGTCAAATTTAGTGTTATTTATTATGTCTAATTACAAACACTTACAGCGGGGAAATCGGACTTTTTTTTAACGAGAGTATGATTAAGTTTTATTTTTGCAGTATCGAGCTTTAAGTCATCTAATCCTAAAATTATCTAATGCTTTACTAAATTATGAGTCCAAAAATTCGAAAATAAGATATATCTATCTTGGATACTAAATGCTGCTTATGAAAAAGTTTTTGCTTGGAACGTCAGGACGAGGCTTATAATCTGTTCCGCAAATCAAGTAAAAAATATGCAAACTGACAAATTGCTATTTTATTTATTTAATAAGAGATTTGTTGCTACATCCTTGTTATAAGATAATAGAAACTACATATGCCGAATACTAATATATATATATATAGAAACTTAAAGCAGCATCACACAAATCATCCTTGACTAATACGAGTATCAGTTTCGACTTCACCCTCTGCAATTTAAATTTACAAAGGTTAATAGACAAAGTTAAATATGGACACATGTAAGAAAAAAGGTTGACCTTGATTAATTTCCAATGGGTATCCGGTAAATTCCTCATGCAAATCCGAGGCTTTTTCGGCACTAGCACGTTTAGCTGTTTTATCACGTCCTTTCCGATGAGAAGCAGCAACGAGAGATGATCTAAATTTATTAGAAAGTTTGGAGAAAAATTCAGGATAACGCGCGTCTAACAGCGAGAAAATGACTAAAAAGAATCCAAGTACAATTGTCTTGAAGCATCTTTCTCTTGATCACCAATAGCAGGCAAAGGTCTACCCTCTTGATCGAAGCCACTTTCGTCTTCGGCATATAAACCTGGTGTTTTACGAGTTATTTTCGTCGATTCGCGTAACTCATGATCCATAGGCGCAAGTTTGTTGGAATCAACAGGTTCTATGAAAATTATTTATTAGCTGCCTCATTCGTTATTTTTAGCTATCATCATAGTTTGCGTACCTTCAAGATCACCTAACTTCACGGGATCATACGCATCGGATCCATGTTCTTGATTGATGACATAGTCTTCGTCTTTTACTACCGCTCCTCCTTCTTCGTATTTGTCTTGATTTGACATTGTGTTCTTTCTTTATTGTTTAGTCAAAAAGAAATTTAATTTTTTATTTAGAAAAAAAAATCGAGACCAATTTATTACTTTTTTAAATAGCGATGATATATGTGTCGATTTTAAAGTGTGATGTAATTATGATATATTTTTTGGCGTCATAAATTTTTTTTTAATAATTATATCGTTTGCAATATTTTACGGTACATATACAATAAAAATAGACACCTCAAATTTTCACTATTATTTTAAATATTGCATCATAAAAATAAAATTCCCGTATTAGCACATGTATTTTTTGGTATAACGGGATTTTAAAAAATTTTCATATGGAAAAACCAAATTGGGCGATCGTACGGTTTATTATTCATGTGATGAAGTTTGCTGATCACAAAATTTATAACGAACAGAAAATGTGACGTTATATGGTAGCCACGTAAAAATCCTCAATTCCAGAAATTTTTGGAATAATATAGAATTTACTTATGATAAAGAGACTCAAAATAAGTGAATATACATTTAACTCAGCTATTGTTGGAGCTTTTTAGTTTTTTATCACATGATATCAGTATCTTAATATAATAAAATCTAGAATCTTAGATCTTTTCTCATAATATGTTGTCTCTTGTAATTTCTCATGTTTTAAATAAATAATTTATGCTTTACTTGTACTCAATTTTATTAAGCTCAATAAGAAAAAGTAATTATAACAATGTATATTATAATTATTGAAAATATTAAAGCTGGAAATAAATTTCATTATACAATTATCTCTAATTCATGAAAATATTTTTTTTGTTATAAATTAATTAACAAAAAAAACTCACTTATTCTTATTTATATTATTATAATTATATTTAAAAACTATTATAAATAAATTAATAAATTATTATATTATAAAAAAAATTAAGAATCTATATTATTTGTTTAATCTATTTTTAAATTTATTTATAATATAATATCTTATAGTAATTCTTATAATTATAAAATTAAATGATCAATTTTATTAATAAAAATTAAACTTTTTTTATATTAAAGTTTATAATTTTATTAAGAAATAATTTTTATTTTTATATCAAAAATAAAGTTTATAAGTTATAATTAAACATATATTTTTTTCAGATTTTTTTTAGAGTTTTTGTAAGATTATTTTATTAATATTTCTAAATAAAATAAAATATAATATGAATAATTTTAATTTATAAACTTATAATTTTATTATTTAAATAGTATTCAGATCTG